TCCCATCACTTCATGGCAAATAGATGGGGAAATGATGGAAACAGTGACAGACTTTATTTTTGGGGGGCTCCAAAATCACTGCAGATGGTGACTGCAGCCATGATATTAAAGGACACTTGCTCCTTGGGAGAAAAGTTATGACCAACCTAGACAGCATATTAAAAAGCAGAGATATTACTTTGCCAACCAAGATCTAGCTATTCAAGGCTATTGTTTTTCCAGTAGTCATGTATGGATATGAGAGTTGCACTATAAAGAAAGCTGAATGCTGAAGAATTGATGGTTTTGAACTGTGGTGTTGGAGAAGGCTCCTGAGAGTCCCTTGGACTGCAGGGAGATCTAACCAGTCCATCCTAAAGGAGATCAGTCCTGAATATTCACTGGAAGGACTGGTGCTAAAGCTGAAACTCCAATACTTTGGCCACCTGATGCAAAGAACTGACTCATTGGAAAGGATCCTGATGCTGGGAAAGATTGAAGGTGGGAGGAGAGGGTGACGACAGGTGATGAGGTAGTTGAATGCCATCACCGATTCAATGGACATGAGTTTGAGTAAACTCCGGGAGTTGGAGATGGATAGGGAGGTTTGGCATGCTGTAGTCCATGGGGTTGCAACGAGTCAGACATGACTGAGTGACTGAACTGAAGTGTACTGAAGAGCCACAGCTTCTGCAGGGGAATTTGTGTGGATGTGTCTATGAGCAGGTGCATCTATGTTTATATTGATGTACCCTTTCTGCTAATATACTGATTGACCCAGCACCTTTATCTTGGCACTCACATCCTTATGTCACTGTTTCACTCTTATTGACATTGACTCTGAACAAAGTTGCCCTACAGAGCCTGTCTGCAGGAAGAACTTGCACTACATCAGGATTTATAATCTAGCTCTCTGAGTCCTATTTCTGTTTAGTCTTTGCAAGATTTTGTGATGGTTTTGTTCTGCCTTGTGCATTTTGCGGTGGACTTGGCAGCATGCTTTTTGATGAACTTTAATACTTTGCTTCCTCTGGACTCACGAGAAAAGAAATGTTGGCCAAATGTGTACCCAGGGCTTGAGAGCATATAAACAGGCTAGCAAAGATGTATCTGCTTAGAGACACAACCATACAGCTTCCACTGCAGAAGGTTGGGACTCTAATAACATTAGAGACTATAAGGGCTGGGGAAATCTCAGTTGCAGAGAATGACCTGGGAAGTGTCCATGAAAAAGCCATTGAACTGCAAAAAGGTTAGAGTGAAAGTCAGGATATCAACAACAGGGGTTCACCTCTTTTGCATTTATGAGCATGACTACTCCAGCCTTGGAGTGAAGCTCTCCTGGCTCTCCTACCTACACATGTATGGGAATGAGGGCCATTGGCATACCGAAACTGCAAAGCCTACTCTAGTCCTAGATTAAGTTTTAGCTTCACTTCCTGTCTCTCAGGCTCCTCCAGGACTGCAAAATACTGGGAGTTTCCTAGAATCCCTAAAGTCAACCAGCTTTATCTACTGGGAGCACAGGGAAACCTCCAGAGTCAATGTTATGCATAATAGTAGTGATGCCTAGTGTGTACGTTTGGGGAATCAGGGCGTAAAAAAAGAGCTAATTCTGCGCATTTTGGGGGCCTTCACTTAGGTTACTTAAAGAGCCACATCATGAAGAAAGCCTGAAGGTGAGGAGTGGAGAAATGCAGGACTGTGAATGTGCTCTCCGAGAGGCAAATTGATGTTTGCTAAGATAATGCCTACATACATGCGTACACACTCACATGTACATATTTGAAGACAGTGTGTGGGACTAGATTTCCACTCTCTTACTGTCTTACATTCAGGTAAGTGATGCTAGGTGAGTAAGGGCTTTATATTCACACTCTGGTGGCCTCATCTCTGAGCTTCAGGTGATCAGCATCCCATCCCCTGTTTCATTCTTATTCATTATTGTGCATTTCTAGTCACTAAGGTCCCCTTGAGTCCCATATTGACAGTAAACCTGTATTTTTTAAATAATTGTGGATTGCTTTACTGCGTGAAAGTGATATATGTTCTTAAAAAATTTTCCTTATTGATAAATGTATATATTCTTTATCTGCACCATAAGTTTTCTTTTTCTTCCCTTTTTTCCTTTTTTACAATACATTTTTTTTAAATTAAAGTGTAGTTGACTTACAATATTGTATTAGCTTCAGGTTTATAGTCTAGTTGTCCAATGTTTTGTAGATTACAAACATAAAGTTTATTATAATATTATTGATAATATTCCCTGTTCTAGGCATTACATCCTTGTGACTTATTTATTTTATAATCAGTAATTTGTACCTTTTAGTCTCCTTCACCTTTTTCACCCATTCTTCCACCCTCCCCTCTGACAACAGTTTGTTCTCTTTATCTCTATTTCTTGCTATTTTTTTTTTTTTTAGATTTCACTTATGAGTGAAAATATACAAATAGATTCCAAATAAAAGTGAAAAAGAAAATATAGTTTTCTTTCCCTGTCTGACTTATTTCACTTAGCAAAAAACCCTCTAAATCCATCCACATTGTCCCAAATGGCAAGATTTTTTTATGGTTGAATAATATTACACCGTATATATAACATCAGAAATATATATATTTAAATTTTTGAATGGAAAATTATAAGCCTAAGTTTTATTATTTTTTAAAAATTTTGTTGACCTACTTGATTTTGTTTGTTGAGAGCTTTATAATATTTTATTAATTTCTCATTGAATTTGTTTTTGTTTCACATATTTTAAGTTATAGTCTTTAAGTGAAAATTCATTAAAAATAGATGCAATATATTCTTAAGATTTAGCATGTTCTGATAATAAACAATGAATCAATCTGTCCTTAATAAAATAGTTATGATAAAACACATTCTCTTAGATATTAATTTTATGCCACATTATTACTATTCTAATACTACAGTGTGCTACTATATTATATTGATTATATATATCATGATATCAGAATTATTTTATGCTACTTTAATCTACCTTTTTTTCTCATTTATTATTATTTTTTAATTGGAGTCCCAGGTTGTTCTTTTAGACTGCAATATAGAGGGGAATCAAGAGTATGAAGTCAATAGCAGTATTACCACACCAAAGTGTTATTACAAATTATAGCTTATCTGAATATAGACTAGAGAACAGGGGACTCAGTGCTTCACAGGATATTCTCAACCACGACAGTCTAAATTTCTTGCCAGATGGATACATGCGGGCTTGCAGGAAAATCCAAACTGTGTTGAATCTTCAGTGTTGAACTTTAGAAAACACTGTGGAAACCTACAATTCTGGTCAAATGGAAGTCAAACAGTCTGTGGTGGTTTTGAAGATATTCTCTTTTTTTCAGTTTTATTGAGATATAGTTGATATACAGCACCTCTATAAGTTTAAAGAGTACAGCATAATTTAACTTATATACCTCATGAAATGATTATCACACTAAGGTTTGTGAACATCCATCCTCTCATGCATATGCAAAATTTTAAAGAAATAGAAAAAAATATTTTTCTTTTTGATAAGAACTCTTAGAATTTATCTTAACTGTCATACATATTTATCATATTGCACATTACATCCCTAGTACTAATATAGCAGAAAGTTTGTACCTTTTGATTGCCTTCATCCAATCTCCCTCAGAATTATTTTTGTGTATCTTAATATTCCAACTTTTATTACTACTTTGAAAATCTTGATTCTTTATAAAATCCAGACTCAGTTGTTTCTGAATTGCTCTTTTCAGGTGCTCCACCAGGGGACCAGCATGACTGGCTGCAATGCCTCCCAGGGCCACCCCTCTTTCTTCCTTCTCCAAGGCATTCCTGGGATGGAGGACAAACACAAGTGGATCTCTATTCCTTTCTCTTCCATGTACTTTGTCACCATCCTGGGGAACTGCACCATCCTCTTCACCATCTCCACAGAGCGCTCCCTGCATAAGCCCATGTTCCTGCTCCTTGGCATGCTGGCCCTCACGGACCTGGGCATGTCCACAACCACCATCCCCAAGGTGCTGTGCATCTTCTGGTTTGACCAGAGTGACATCAGCTTTGAGGGCTGCCTGGTCCAGCTGTTCTTCCTCCACTCCATCTCTGCCTTGCAGTCTGCCATCCTCATGTCCATGGCCTTTGACCGCTACGTGGCCATCTGTGAGCCCCTGCGCTATGCCACCATCCTTTCCAACAGCCGCATCGGGCTCATCGGCCTCGTGAGTTTAGTGAGAGCTGTCCTGCTCATTCTCCCCATGCCCATCCTCCTCCAGCAGATGCCCTTTCATGCCAGGCATGTCATCCCCACCACCTACTGCGAGCACATGGCTGTGGTGAAGATGGTGTGTGTGGACACCACAGTCAACAGGGTGTATGGTCTGGTGGTGGCCTTGTTGGTTGCTGGGGTAGACATCTCAGCTATTGCCTCATCTTATGTGCTGATCATCCGGGCTGTAATGCGGCTCTCTTCTAAGGAAGCCCACCAGAAAGCAGTAAATACCTGCACCACACACATCTGTGTCATGCTTATCTCTTACACTCCCTCACTGTTTTCTTTTCTCACTCATCGCTTTGGCCAGGGAATCCCACTTCATGTGCACACCATTCTTGGCAGCCTCTACTTCCTTGTACCTCCAATGCTTAATCCTATTATTTATGCAGTGAAAACCAAAGAGTTTCGGGACAAATTGACAAAATATGGGTGTTGGAGGAAGGAACCCATAAATATTACCTATGGTCAGAAACTGGTCTGATTATCTGGCACTGCTGATTATAAGAAAATAAAAAATATCAACATAAATGAAGTTCCTTGAGGAATTAGTGCATGGAAGAAATACGTCATATTACAAATTATCTGCTCAAATTCTTAAACTGAGGGTCTGAGACACAGGAGAACTTATTCTCACTATTTCCAAAGCAAGGTTACAATCTCACATTAAATGAAAAAATAACATATTCTCTCCATCTTGACATGGTAGTTGGGAAAACTGAAAGTGACGATGTACATAAAAGAACTTTGAACAACACACACTGAATGCAAGTAAAATGAGGTGGAATGTTTCCATATGAAGAGAATAGTGGTAGAACTTGTCTACCACTTCGCCAGGAGCAGGAAATGGCAACCCACTCCCGTTTTCTTGCTTGGGAAAACCCATGGACAGAGGAGTCTGGCATGCTGCAGTCCATAAGGTCATAAAGAGTCAGACATGACTTAGTGACTAAAACACAAACAACCACTTTGCCAAGGTGGAGTCAAGTTGTGTGGGAAGAGGTTAAGATTATTTGAGGGGGACTGAGTAGGTCAGGGAAAGTACACTAATTTATTATACATGCTGCAAGAGTCTTATGTTTGGTTTACAGGACTTGCTTCTTTGTAGAACTAGGGGGAATATGGGAAAGAAACATAATCTCTAATTCCTAGAGAAATTCCAGTGGAAAAGGAAAAATGGGAAACTCCTAAGCTTAAAAGGTGAATATGCCTTTAAACTAATTTCACATTTTTAAAAATTCTTGTTGTCAACTCTCCTGCTTGTTTCTACTAATTCCAGTGCTTCTTAAGAACCTCCTACTGAGAAAATTCTGAGAATGTTTTGTAATTGCTTGTAGTTATAAGTCAGTTTTATACTGGAAGTCATTGGCTATTGACCTCTGAAAGACAGTTTCTCTGAAAGACAGTTTCTCTAGAAACATGGAAATGTCATGGGCGAGTACTTGGACAGTTTATGGAGCTCAGATCTTGTGCCCAAACTTAGGAATTCATAAAGTTCAGAGGATATTATTTATCACTTTCAGACAATGATTTAGGATATAGTGCACATCTTTTAAGATGCCTGAAGGGTAAAGTCCCAAAATTCTAGGGTTGATCATTATATTGTAGAACTAATATTTAAAGACAGAACTCAGTGAAAAGACACCCTTGAAGCCACATAGCTACCATTTAAAGAAGACATTTTTTTGTTTTGTTTTGTTTGGCCATGCCTCGCAGCATGTGGGATCTTAGTTTTCTGACCAAAGAATCAACCCGTGCCCTCTGCAGTGGATGTGCAGAGCCCTAACCACTGGATCACCAGGGAATTCCCTAAAGGAGACTCTTAAAACACTAATCTAGAGGGAAATAAATGATACTCCTCCAGAGAGTTATACCAGCTATAATAAATACCAATAAATTATTTATTGAACAATTATATATATATTGTTCATTGAACAATTCATTATATTGTTCAATCCTATATATTGAACAATTCATTAACAAGGGCTGTAAAAGATGGAATATTTCAAAGCTTGAAATAATGGGCACAACCTTCAGGAGGAAAAAAAAATAAGGTTTACTAGGAAAGATCTCTTCTACAAATGGAGAACTAGAGATGAAGGAAAGCTTACAGGAGAAAAAATGGTTGAAGTACAGAGTACTGCCTATCTGACACCACAAACCTGAAGATTAAACACACACACATACACACACACAAATTACTCAGCGTAATATTTTATGGTTAAGCATTTAATTGACAAATAAGTAGCAGTTTGTGAAAGAACCTGAAGCACTCATTAGCTGGAGGGGTTGTGGTAGCACAAAACTTAATTTTGCTGAGATCTCTGTCTGATTTAATGAGTTACAGAAGCAGAGATCTGCATAATAAAATATTATCTATCTCTTATATTTTTTTTCCTTTTTCTTTATGACTGGCTATTTTACAAAAATAAGAAGTTTATTTTTACTCAAATTACTCAAATTAACTTGGGAATAAAATGCATATTGAGAAAATTGTGGCAGGAAAGCTGTCAGCAGCAGATGATTCTGAGAAAACAGAGACAGCTGAGAAACTCAGAAAAAGAAACAAGTCTGACTCCATCTGTGTTTTTTCTCTTGGCCTGTTTTCTTCTTATTTAAATGTGGTTTTTTGTTTCTACTGTAAGATCAGCTTGATTCATTTCCTGTAGACTTGCTAACAAGAGAGTATATGACACAGATATAAACTATTATTTTTCTCATGTCTATAGAATTGTTTCTAGCCTTGCAAAGCTAGAAAAATTTTCAAATGCTTTGTATCATGGTCAAGTTTAAATCACTTTCTGTCTGCTAGGTATTCGGATTTGAGTTAATACAGAGTTGACTACCCTTCTATCATCTCCATTTTATGGAGAACTTATGGTAAAGAATCCGCCTGCAATGCAAGAGACGCAGCTTCAATCCCTGGTATGGGAAGATCTGCTGGAGGAAGAAATGGCAACCCACTCCAGTATTCTTGCCTGGAGAATCCCATGGACAGAGGGTTCTGATGGGCTATAGGCCATGGAGTCACAAAGTTAGATACAATTGAGCAACTAAACAGCAAACATGCCTAGTAAGAGTCTCAAGCTCCCAAAATATAAACAATTAGAAAATAATTATATAATAGTAAATATATAAATAAGTGTCTTCTAGTAAATTTTCATGAAGGCAACACCTGACTAGAGTTTCAGGTATTGGGGCAAAAGTTTTTGTAGCATTGGGGAATATAAATCTAGATTCCCCGGAAAACAGGCCTGAGACAAAAGCTTGCATATTGGCAGCTCATTTAGATATGTGTTCACAGACTATGGGCCCTTTGTAAAACAGAGTGAAACAGGAAAGAGAAAAAGCCAATATAAGGATTTTTTGGTCCAGTTGCACACTGTTAGTGGAGACTATTGTCCAGCCCTGACAGAACCATCTAAAGAGCCTTCTGAAATACATCTCAGAGTATTTCATCCCCAGGGGATGAAAAGACTTCTCCCAATGGCTCAAACAGGGTTCTTGGCCTGCCCAACAGGTGTTAACTCCAGGTACTCCAGCAGAACTGTTTGCTAGGGATATCCACGGACTTAGGGAAGCCCCATGGCAAGATGTTCCACATTACTAGGCATGACCTGAGCTTGACTGTCTGATTATACCTGCTAGGAACTGGTCACAGCAGTATTGCTTGAATGAATACAAGAGGATTATGAACGGTGTGCAAAAACTGTCTAATGTAAAAATCTACAAGACCAAGGCCTCACAGGCTTCCCAGGTGGCACAATGGTAAAGAATCTGCCTGCTAATGCAGGAGACACAAGAGATGCAGTTTCAATTTCTGGGGCAGAAAGATCCCCTGAAATAGGAAATGGCAACCCACCCCAGTATTCTTGCCTGGAAAATTCCATGACAGAGCAATCTGGCGGGCTACATTCTATGGGGTCACGAAGAGTTGGACACAACTGAGCAACTCAGCATGCAGGTGGTCTCACTGTAAGCTGTGAACTTTCTTTGAGACTAAGAAGGGCTCACACCTTGAGTTCATCCAATAGAATCATTATTTTAATTTTTCAACTTCAAATAAAAAGTTATCTCATTAACATGGTTCAAATTCCATAACTATAGCTAACTAAAAGGTATTCTTCTTAAAATATTTAAGTGTTCCTAGAAAGAAAAGAGCTTCTATAGATGTGTATAGTTCTTCTCAATTCTTACTTCTTTTTGTCTTCTTTTTTTACACAGAATGAAATAAACAGTGCTACTTACTATTGTTGTTCTTTCTGTTTTTGTTGTTAAAATAATACATGTACTGTGTAAAGCAAACAAATGTGATAAGATACACAATGAAGTGTAAAAGTCTTCCTTCTTCTTTTACATGAAACTGGTCCCTGGAAGTAAGCCCTTTAAATAGGTTTTATGCATAATTTACTAACTCTACTTTGCTATTTAAAGTAAGTGTATAGATACAAGCCTCTAGATATGATTCTTTTTTTCATAAATATGACATAAATTTATTCAACTTTGAACTTTTATGTGCAGCAGGATTTTTAAAATTTCTCTCTTTGTTGCCAATTGTGAATTCCCTTTTTTGGCCTCTTGACAAGACCAAGAAGCATTTTTCTTTGTTTTCATTTGATTCATCGAGTCCTGAAATTTTCTACTTTGATTCTTTGGTAAACAACACTTCCCTATGTATAATTCATTCTCTTTCACCACACATGAGATAAAAACAGACTTACTTCAAATGAAAATTAAAGACAAATAAGTCTAAAGTTCCCCTTCCCTTTGTATTATCAGGTTGTCAGTCACAGACTTCCTGTATTGAGAAGGACAATATTTCTTCCACTGCTGCAGGGTTCTTTTGCCTGAAGTGCTTCTTGTATTTTTCCTCTATTGAGAAATCTCTCCCAATTGGAGCTCATGCTCCATTTTGATAAAATAAAAATACCACTCCACACACCTCTCCTGAGACTCTCCCATGTATATGCGGGAGAGCTGATTTCTTGGTTGGAACTTGGTGGTTTCTCTTCTTCCTATCCAATAGTGTCAAATGAAGCTTTCTAAGATTAATGGTTTTAGTTTGCATTTTAAAATAATAGTTTATTTCTGCTTGTGAGGTGTCAAATTTCATATCATGTGACTGGATGTGCTTTATCCAAACAAACCTATCATCAGTTTAACATAGATTTTTAGATAGGTTTTCTATGGCTTTACTTAAAATAATACTGCTCAGAAGTTCTTTTCTTAAAATGTTAGTCCCCGTGACTGTTTTAATAAATCAACACATCTGAGAATAAACTAGCATATTCATAATTTCTCAGCTTTACTTTATTTAACTTTAGAGAAGAATATGTATTTATCTAGCCATGTATCTCATTGTATTCTTTGTTAAGAACTCTACCAAAACATTTCAATTCTGTGGCAAAGATGTCTGCAGGTAGGTCTGTATATTTAGATCTAAATTTCAGAGTCTAATACTTTACATAAGTGCAACTGACTGAG